AGCGAGAGCGTGATTCCCGAGTGTCCACGGCGCGGCGTCTGAATAAATTGCGATGAAATCCCACGCGAGAGAGCGATTCCCGCAAAGGTTGTGAGGACGTCCCGCGAGAGAGCGCGATGATGGAATATATTGTGACATAGTAGAAGGCGGGAGCCGCTGTTATTGCAAACCAGAAGCCAAACACACAGCTTGGTGACCCAACACTTTCCCCGACAAAAAACCGGGTGCAAGCCCAGGGAGGAGCACTTGAATTGAAAAATACAATGGTCACCAGAGGGGGGATCAGCAATAACTATACTTTGGATACGATAATTCAACAACCAAAACAAACAAAAACAATGCACAGAAACGAGCCCCCAGCTGGTGAGTTTCGTGACAATGGCCGGTCAGCAGCCCGCTTCTTGCCCAGGTTCTGGATCTGCAGAGTATCTTCCTGGTAACTGCAAGCCCTCGAACGTCTACAAGGGCGCACGTCGTAGGTCTCCGCTCAGCTGCAGTCTCAACCTGGGAGAGCAGCAGTGTGCCTGGACAGTCCTGGCGCTGGTGCATTGGCGGCTTCCTTCCTGGTGCAGAGCGGTGCAGAGCGAGACGAAGCTCGAGCACAGAGCCACATATCCCGTCCACCCTTCACCCAGCCCATTCCCTTTACTCAATCTACGTTCTCTCTCCTCCCCCACCGTGCTGCCATGGGCGTGGGTGGATGCACCCCTCTCTTGATCCAACCGAGTCCAAAGTCAGCTCTCAGAGTGGGCCGCGGGCTGCGATGTGCCTTGAAGCAACGATGCAAGACAAGCACGCCGCACGCATCACAGAAAACGATGCCTTTCTTGTCGGTGAAACAGGCGGGGAACTGCTAAGCTCCTTTGGCTGTACAGAGACAGCTGATAAGGTTGGAAAGGGGCATCTTACCCACAGCTGCCAGAGGAAGTCCAGTCCCGATTGCCGCCTCACTAGTTCGTCCTAGCTACGACACTGACGCAGTCAGAGATGCCTGGCAACAGCAGGCAGGTAGCATCTTCACCTTAGTTGTTATATGAACTTGCGCGGATAAACCCCTCTACAACTCTCTGCGTACCCAGTGCTGCAGCATGTGCCACCAGCGTTGCTTGCGTCAACGATGCCCATAAGACGCGATCTTCCTGCACGTTCAGCACCTGGACCACACAAAGAGTAATGCACCTGATCCGAAAGCGAGCTGAGATGAGAAGAGCGCACTTCGCTTCGTTGGGGCCAGGTCCGAAGTAATGGAGCCAAACAGCATCCCCACACTCTTTCCACCCCCAAGGATCCACGCAAAAAAAACGCCCAAACCGCTCTCGGAATAGACGGGTTGGTCGACATCCACAAACGCTAGGCAAGCATAATTGTATCTAGGGCCTAAGGGAGCCGGCCCCCAGACTCCCTCGGGCTGATCCACACTACGGTAACACAATCCATTTGTGATGCTCACAACGTACAAGGACGAATACAATGTTCACCACACACGCACGCAAGCACACACACACACACATACACAAATACCACTGCCAGGCTTCCAGGGATAGCCCAAATGCCCACAGACATGTCCGACTCGACGTCATCCCAACCACCAGTCCATGAGCGAGGGCTGGCGGCAGAGGGCGAAGCCATCTGGACCGCTCGTTTTAGGGCCTCAGATACATAGCGAGATCACAGCTTACCCACATCCAAGCTCCAAATCCACACATGTCTTGCCCAAACCATATTCGAAGCCTTTAAAGGCAAACTCCATAAAATTCCTGGATATTTGCTGGGCCATTGAACTCCTCATGGTGCGCATTCCCTCAGGCACGTCCTCCGCAGTTCTCCCCAAGGCAAATGTGGGCATCGCCGCGCGGTCTTCTTGACCAGCTGAACCTGGCTTTCACAGAAGCGCAGAGCAACATGTCCCAATCTCAATGTGAACGCAATCAGCGTCATTAGTGTCGTTATTGCAATGGCCACCAATAGGAATAGCGCCACCATCCCCACCGCATCATCAACACCGCCAGCGTCGCTAGCAACATCAGCCACAAATCCCTCCGACACCCTCCCACTTACAGTCCCGAGAAGAAACACGTTGTCCGTAATTAGGCCTGGCGAGCACGCTGGACGGTCGAGCATCTCAGGGACACTGAGCGGCTAACCCCACCAGCCCTTTAGGGCTCGAGTGGTTTAGAGGGTTTCTTCTTCCAACCCCCCCTTCTTCACCTTCGAGGAAGGGTTTACGCCCCTCCCCCCCCTACCCCCTACCCCTGGACCTGGAGGGGGGGCCCAAGACGCCCCAAGAGGCCCCAGCGAGAAGGCCAAAATTATTGATTTTACCGAAAGTGTGAGCCACATGTGGACCTTCGGGGCGGGGACCCTGATTAAGGAGGCCTCCTCATATGATCGATCTCCTCCTACATGGCCCCAAGATGGCACCCGAGGCTCCCAAGGGTGCCCCAAGACGGCCCCAGTATGTGCCCAGGAGGCCCCAGGAGGCCCCCACGATGCCCCAAGATGCCCCCAAGAGGCTCCCAAGAGACTCCCACGAGACTCAAAGAGGCGCCCCAGAGGCACCCAAACTCCTCAAGTGGCCTCCGGGACTGCCACGAGAACCCCAAGACGCCCCAAGAGGAATCCAAGAAGCTCTAGAAAAATATCCGAAGAGACTCCGAGAGGCATCCAAGAGGCCTCTGGTCTTTCTGCTCGCCCTCCTCCTCCTCCTCCTCCTCCTCCTGCTTCTCATCCTTCCTCCTCCTCCTCCTCCTCCTCCTCCTCCTCCTCCTCCTCCTCCTCCTCCTCCTCCTCTTCCTCCTGCTCCTCCTCCTCCTCCTCCTCCTCCTCCTCCATTCCTTCTCCTTATAAATAATGATACCGGAGAAAAACCCCAATCAGAATTTGTTTTGGGCTATAGGGCTATAGGGCTATAGGGCTATTGGGCTATTGGGCTGTAGGGCTACAGGGCTATAAGGCTACTATAGGGCTATAGGGCTACAGGGCTATAGGGCGATAGGGATATAAGGCTATAAGGCTATAGGGCTACAAGGCACCAGGCACCCTGGCACCCGGCACCCGGCACCTGGGCACCGACCCGGGCACCGGGCACCCGTCACCCGGGCACCCGGGCACCCGGACATCCGGGCACCCGGGCCCGGCCACCGAATCGGCGGCGAACCCGGGCACCCGGGCACCCGGGCGCCCGGGCACCCGGGCCCGGCCACCGAATCGGCGGCGAACCCGGGCACCCGGCACCCGGGCACCCGGGCACCCAGGCACCCGGGCACCCGGGCACCCGGGCATCCGGCACCCGGCCCGGCCACCGAATCGCGGCGAACCCGGGCACCCGGGCACCCAGGCACCCGGGCGCCCAGGCACCCGGGCCCGGCCACCGAATCGGCGGCGAACCCGGGCACCCGGGCACCCGGGCACCCGGGCACCCGGGCACCCGGGCACCCGGGCACCCGGGCACCCGGGCCCGGCCACCGAATCGGCGGCACACCTCACTATACCCTTAAATCCGCTAGAACTCCTACAGAGGCAAGCACTGATTGGAGAACTTCTCTCCTCCTCCTCCTCCTCCTCCTCCTCCTCCTCCTCCTCCTCCTCCTCCTCCTCCTCCTCCTCCTCCTCCTCCTCCTCCTCCTCCTCCTCCTCCTCCTCCATTCCTTCTCCTTATAAATAACTTCTCCCTGTCGCACCCCAAGGCCAATGGTTAGGGCGGGCGGGGCGTTTCACCTGAGACTTTCTCACCACTTATGACTCTGGAGCGTTAAAATGGACAGCAGCTTCACAGATTGAGGGCGGGTCGTTTTCAAAATGTGGTTCTCGTCTTAGCGCCGCGCACATTCGTCTTAAATGTTTGCAAAAGTTTCACAGATTGACGGCGGGTTTTTTTTTTAATGTGGCTCTCGCCTTAGCGCCGCGCACATTCGTCTTAAAAATACAAGAGCTTCACGGATTGAGGGAGGGTGGTTTTCAAAATGTGGCTCTCGCGTTAGCGCAGCGCACATTTGTTTAAAAAATGCAAGAGCTTCACGGATTGAGGGCAGCTTCTTTTTCAAAATCTGGCTCTCGCCGTAGCGCCGCGCACACTCGTTTTTATTTACAAGAGTTCCACGGATTCCCATGATCAACGTACCAGGAACGGAATTTTTGGACGGCGGATTCAGGCTCATGAGGGTGCACCAAATATGTAGATTCGCAGTGTTCATGCGCCAGGAATGGCGTTCTGGCACGATTCTGGATAGTCCAGACGCAACAGTCAGGTTCATCCGTGGCGTTGGGATCCCGAGAACAATGCTTTGGCATGCTTCAGGGTCTTCAAACAGTTGTCTTCCAACGAGGCACTCCATTAATGAAATGAACCGTGGTAAGGGGCCTATGAAGAGGGAGCTTGGAGGGAGGGTTTATTCCAACATCGTTGATATCTCTTGGGTTCACACTGGTCCTCCTCCTCCTCCTCCTTCTCCTCCTCCTCCTCATCTGCCTGTTCCTCCTCCTTCCTCCTCCCCCTCCTCCTCCCCCTATCTCTCCTCCTCCTCCTCCTCCTCCTCCTCCTCCTTCTCCTCCTCCTCCTCCTCCTCCTCCTCCTCCTCCTGCTCCTCCTCCTCCTCCTTTTCCTTTTCCTCTTCCTCCTCCTCCTCCTCCTCCTCCTCCTCCTCCTCCTCCTCCGCTTCCTCCTCCGTCCTCCCCCTCTTGGGATACGCCGTCCAACCCAGCCCTTTATTCCACTGCGCTCTCCTCCACGTCCCTGCTCAGGGCAGCTCGTCAGGGCATCGTCTCTGACGGGCCGGCGGGGGTTACTTTTTTTTGGTCAGCGGCCCCGAGACTACGGTCAGGGAGCGGAGGCGACGTCCAGGCCACGGGCGAGGCTAATTAGGAAGACAATTCGCCGCCAGCCAGAGTCGGCGGGGGTTACGCAAAGCGTCCAGGATTGAGCACCCGCACGAGAGGGGGAAAAGGAAAAGCAGGGCGGCCGCGGAGAGAGGGAGGGAGGCGGGGCCACCTCGGACCGCGTCGATCTCCCCAGGGGGTAGGCGTGCTGCTGCCCAGGCACGTCCCGGCGCGCCCAGGAAGAGAGGGCCATGCAGAACCGCATGAGCCCACGGGCGGTCTCCGAGCAGGCCCCCCCTATCAAGAAGAGACACGCAAGGGAGCACCTCGTTGTTGTCTCGAGCTGCCGCTTTCGGCTGGGCCTCTAGAGATCCACTTCGGACGTACTGCCACTTTGCTTTCTTTACATTTCTCTCTCTCTCTCTCTCTCTCTGTCGGTCTGTCTTTCTCTCTCTCTCTCGCTCTCTCTCTCTGTTTTTTTATATTTATCTCTCTCTCTCTCTCTGTATCTCTTTATGTATGTACGTGTGTAATGTGTATGTGTCTATGTGTCTGAAATAAATATACATACAAGTTTACATATATGTATACTAAAACCACGCGCGCTTCGCGCGCTTAGGTCCTATCAAGCTCCAGCCTCTAACAGTCTCACAGCTGCGCGCAGATGCAACGTCAGGAGCTCCCCACACATGGTTCGAACATGTGGTGGAAGCGTAGCCGTTCACAACCTGGACCGAGCAAAGACGATTCCACACAAGACGCTCCACGAAAATCCCAAGAGCGCCCAAGAGGGAGCCTGGGAGAACTCCAAGGGCAGCCCAAGGTGATCCCAGGAGCGCTCCGACAGGGGATCCAAGGGGGGGATCGAGAGAAGCCCCAAAAGGGCCAGAAGAAGCCTGCGGGGTGGGGCACAGGAGGGCCCAGGATGGCCCCATCGCGGCCTCAAGACAGCCTCGGGAAGTGCCCCTGGAAAACCTAAAGAGGCCCCGAAAAAAAAAAAAAAAACGACGGCCCGACTGGGCTCAGAGTCCAAGATGGCCTCAACATGCATCCAAGAGGCCCGAAGACTGCTCCAAGGCGGCTCCGATGCCCCCTGGAGGCCAAAACTTCAACGCGTTGCCCTCTCACCGGTTCTCTTCCGATGAGCTCTGAAGGATTCAAGTCTTCTCCAAGATTGTTCAAGACGGCCCCAAGAGGAGCCCAAATGAGGACCAAGACGGCCCCAAGAGCGCCCAAGACCGCCCCAAGAACGCTCCAAGAGGGCTTCCGGAGGCTCATCTTAAAGCTCCGACAAGGGGGGGGGGAGGGGGGGGGGGGGCAAATTGACGCCGCTCTCCTTGTTTGATCGATGGCTTCCAAGATGGCCCCAAGAGAACCCCAGAAAGCCCCAAGAGGGCCCCAAGAGAGGACCAAGGGGGACCAAGAGGTCCTCCAAATGAATGGCCCCACGAGGTCTCCTAGACGCTCCCACGGCGACGGATCTGAGAAGGCCTTCCTCGCCTGCGTTTCCCTTTTCCTCCCCATACCTCCTGTTGGCTGTTTTGAGATGGGCTGTTGGGGATACTTTTTTGGTCGCGGCCGCGAGACAAGGGTCAGGCGGCAAGGCAACGTCCGGGCCACGGGCGAGGCTAATTGGCTAGGACAGGAGTGTCGGCCGGCCCCCTCAGACGGCAGCTGCAGGCTGGGTGACGCTGAAATGGCTGACGTACTGCAAGCTCGGGCACGTGCACTGGACAAAGTGACCAGAATTCAGGTGGCCAACGCAGGACTCGCGCAGGACCCGCGGACCTCAGCGGGCAGGTCACTGTGCAAGCTGTTGGGGATATTTTTTTTTGATCTGCGGCCCCAAGGAAGAGTCCAGAGGGCGGGTCAATCGGGCTGACTGGGGCACAGAGCCAAATAATTTGCGAACCCAGCCGTCACTGTCGACAGCCGACCGCACATGCAAGCATGCCGAACAAATTGGGGAGACGCATCTTAGCGTCGACCGGGGGGGACGGGCGCGGGAAGAGAGCGACCCAGAGGGCGGGTCAAACGGGCTGACTGGGCCACAGAGCCAGATAATTAGCGCACCCAGCTGTCACTGTCGACGCCGACCTCACATGCGACATGCCGAGCACAAACAAGGAGAGCCGACGACGGACAGCGGGGCGTCGCACAGTGGCGCCAGCGCCCGACAGACCGGACGGCGAAGGGCAGGGCGACAGGGGGGGGAAAAGAGGGGGGGAGGGAGAGAGACAGGGGGAAAAAAGAGCCTCACTCACGGAGCACCACGTGCTCGGGGGCAGGTCGTCACTGAACCAGGCGAGGGTAGACTTGGCGCGAGTCCCGAGTGGCAACTTCCATGCGTCCATGGACGGGGGGGACGTCGCGTGGGAACCACGTCACTGCCCACCAGCGTTCAGAGGCCCCGCCTGGGGACGACTGCGGGCAGGTGTGCACAACCTGAACATCGCAGAAGGGCAGGGCGTCGATGGCGTCCGCGAGCGACAAATCCTACTAGAGGAAGAGGCCGATGTCGCTGGCATAGCCGGGAGCCGGAGAACGCCTGCCAAGAGGAAGCACGGCCCTGCCAAAGGATGCACCACTTGTACAGGAAGCCGGCCTCCAGGACGACGGCGCCGTGCATCGGGACGGGCACGTCGTGGAAAGGCTGAGCCTGCCAAAGGATGAACCACTTGTGCAGGAGTGTGCCTTACCTGGGCCCACCCGCAGGTGGAGGTCGAGAGGCCAGCCGCTGCCTGCCAAGTGGGGGGGAACTGCCACTGGGCAAGGGGACCAGCCGTCAGAGAAGCGTCGAGTGGAGCGTATGGGGTGGGCCTTGGGCCGGCGACCCCAGCCATCCAAAGTGCGGGCCCTGGCGAGCAAAACGGGCACATGTCTGAGAATGGGGCCAAGTGGGCCGTGGGCAGGAAACACAGCCAGTGCCGCCCGTGCAGGACCCACGAGTCACTGCGGGATCTATACGCAGTGCTGTGAGAGGTACACCTCGCCCCCAGGAGGAGACGCAAGGGTATTAGGCCGGAGCCTCACTGCGGTGAAACGAGACCCTGTCGAGAAGGGACCACCCCGACGGCAGTGGCCCGTGGGGGCCCCTGCCGGTGTGGAGCGCACCTTGTGAACGTTGCACGTCGTCGGTCCGCCACAGCAGTCGTCGAGGGCGTCGGGAGGGAAGGGGGGAGGCGCAGCCGATAGCCGCAGGTCAGTTGAATACATGGGGGGAGGAGGAGCCAGGTGGCGACACCAGCCGTCGAGGACCCAACACGCGAAGTCGGTATGTCGTCGGCGTGTGGCGCCGCCTGGTGGGGGGGAAAAGCCACCAGGGCAAGGCCGTCGGACGTCGGGAGTGCAGCGTGTGGAGCGCATGGGGTGGGCCTTAGGCCTACAGCCCCAGCCACCCAAAATGAGCGCCCAAGCGGCGAAACGGGCTCATGTCCGCGTGAACAAGGCCAAAGTGAGCCGTGGGCAGGATTATTGCAGCCAGACCACACGGGCTAAGAGCCCACGAAGCTCCGTGGGGGTCTAGACGCAGTGTGAATGGTGCACCTCACTCCCAGGAGGTGACACGTGTATTAAGGCCAGGGCCTGTCACTGCGGTGAAACGAGCCCCTTTCGTGAAGGGACCACCTACGGACGGTGTGGCCCGGGGGGGTCATCCGTCCGCGTCGTCTTAATCCTCACCAATTGCGTGCCTGTGGGCAGCAAAGGGGCGGTCGAGGACCATAGGGCTGCCGACCCATTGGGCCCCGCATGGCACGTCGGGGGCCCATATGGCCCACAGGGTCAGCGCGATGGAGACCACTTTCTGTTGGGGATACGCGAAGCGTCATGAATTGGTGTTTGGGACGTGGGACGTGGGGGTTGGCGGTGTGTGGTGGTTCGTTGGTGTTTAGTTGTCTATGGTGGTGTTTGGTGGTGTTTGGTAATCGGTGGTGTTTGGTGGTTTGGTGGTGTGTAGAGGTTTGATGCTTGGTGCTTGGTGCTTGGTGATTGGTGAAACGTGTCTAGTGTTTGGTGTTCGGTGGTTGGTGGTTGGTGGTTGGTGGTTGGTGGTTGGTGGTTGGTGGCTGGTGGCTGGTGGTTGGTAGATAATGGTTGGTGGTTGGTGGTTGGTGGTTGAAGGTTGGTGTCTGATGGCGAAGTACATAACATGCAGCCAGGATTGGGTCGCGTTAGCCGGGATTGGGTCGAGTTAGCTGGGAATGGGTCGAGTTCGCCAGGACTGGCACAGAAAGTTTGGGACCACACTGGGGGTCTCTCGGGCAGTCGTGAGGCCCCCAGAGGCCCATCCAAGAGTCCAAAGCGTCGTCTAAAGCTGTTGAATAGTTATTTTCCAGCACGAATGGCAAGGGAGCCTCGGTCGATTCTGGTTGGTAAGTGTGCTTCAGCTTCTCCACCAGCTGGAGAACGTTGCCGGCTTCTCCACTGACAACCACCTGGCAGAGGAGCGGGTGAATCGAAAGGAAGCCACAGAGCAAGGAGGGAAAGCGATGCAATGGAGGCTTGGGGATTGTCCTTGAGAAGTGCATCCTTCTCGCCGACGTTGCGATTTGGCCTGGCCCTACAAGGCAAACTCATGATGTCCAGAGCGTGCCATCATGTGGTATCCTCGTTGCTAGGTCTTCGTGACAAGGGCATGCGTCTATCTGGAAGCACGCGCGCGTGCCAGGGTATGCTCTCGCACAGGGCCTTCGCTTGTGCCAACCCCGTGCTAAGACGGAGCCCCAGCCTCGCTCGTGACTGCACGAGCGAGCAAGAATGACCTCGGCGGGACCCTGGCCCACACGGGCATCGTCGTCCTTCGGCTCCTGCTGTTTTTGTTTTTCCCCAGGCCTGAGTCAACTTGCTGACGTTGAGAAATGAAAAAAAACGCCCCTACATGTGATATAAGTGCGTGGTCTGTAAACCTCCCAGGGGCTCCCAAAGGCCAGAAAGCCGTCAGGACGCCGGGCGACTCGCGCGGCACACAGGGTTTACCCTGTCAGCCCACAGGAGGCTCAGCGCACAGCGCCTCGTAGACCAGGGTAGGAGCGTTTCTTGCGCCCTTGATGACGGCCGTTGTCCTTCTGCGAATCGGCGGTGGCAGCCAATGCCTGCACGGCCTCGCCCGAGGCAAAGGCTCCCGCGGAGAATGACGAAGCCGGCCGATGCGGGCACGTCCCGGACAGAGCTGCAGGACGTCGTCGGCCACCCGCGCTGCCTGCCACCACCACCCATCCGAACACCGAGCGGCTGCTGAGCAATCGCCTGCCAGGGTGCCGCCGTCGACGTGCAGTGAGAAGCTGGAACTGGCTGAACCTGGCGGCGAGCGAGGGGGGAGGCGAGAAGGAGAAGGCCTTCTCAGATGGCTCGGAAGGCCCTCGGCCTTCTGAGACGCTTTCTGAGCCTTCCCCGAAAACACAGAACACTTCTCAACAGGCGCGAGGGCCCCTGAGAAGCCTCGCCGCCTTCTCTCCGAAGGCCTGCTCCTTCTCACTTCCCCCCCTCGCTCACCGCCGACACGCGGAACTCGCCCGGCAGAAGAGACCCGTGACCGCGCCACTCCTCTGCGGCTGCGCCTCCGCTCCTGCTCCTCCCAGGCCACCCAGGAGGGGGTCCGAGCAGAGGAGGTCGGAGGATCGCGCCGCATCGCCGGCGCGTCGCCGTGCAGCGGCGATGCGTCGCCCACATCGCGCCGCATCGCAGTGCGTCGGCAAGGAGGCGCGATGCTCCGGCCCCACCTGCTCGGACGCCACCTGGGAGGCCCAGGTCCCAGAAGCTCACACTCCCTGCGGCGCCTCCAATCCCTCCAGTGGCTCCTCGCCTCCTCCTCCCCCCGATCCCCGACGCCGTGCCAGAAAAGGAAGACCGCGCGCCTCTCGGCCCCCTCCGCGGGAACCGGTTGCTGGTTTTCATCCCGGGCCGCCTCTCGTCTGTGCCGTTCGTTGCCCGCCTCGGACCTCCAGGGGCTCGAGCTTGAGAGAACTGGCCGCCTCGATTCTTCCACGCCGCCCGAGGACTGGCTGCTGGCGGCTCCTCCACACCCTCCCCGCGCCCAGCGCCCCTCCTGCTCCTCGAAAGGCTCTGGGCCGAGGGCGCCTTCACCCTGTTGTGCTCGGTGTGCCCGTCGTCGCCGCTGGGGGGACAGTTTGAGCTGCGGTCGTGCGGCGAAGGAGGACGAGCAGCAGCAGCAGCAGCAGCAGCAGCCAACGGGCGACTCCTCTTCCTCCTCCTCCTCTTCCTCCTCCTCCCCCTCCCCCTCCTCCTCCTCCTCCTCCTCCTCCTCCTCCTCCTCCTCCTCCTCCTCCTCCTCCTCCTCCTCCTCCTCCTTTGGGGCTCGAACAGCGGGAATGGTGCCCGCAAGCTCTCACCCTGCTCGGCTGCTGGGGGCCGCCTCCAGGCCCAGGGACCGTCAGCCGACAGCTCGGAGTGAAGAGCCGGTCCTGGGGAAGGGGTCGAGAGGTCCAGGGGCGGACGGCTCGAAAAATCGATTCGACGGGGTTTGCGGCAGCAGCGATTGGCAGATAATCCCATCAGCCCTCTGGGCGTGAGTGGTCTAGGGAGCTCGTTCTGCTACCCCCCATTTTTTCCCCTTCGGGGAGGGGGTTCCACCTCCCCCTACCCCCTACCCCTGGACCTGGACAGGGGGTTCGCGAGGCGTTGGGGCGTCCAAGATCCCCTACGATGGCTTCAAGAGGGCCCCACAGAGCCCAAGATGGCCTCCAAGATCCCTCAAGATATCCAGACACGATTCAGTATAGATTCCAAGACCACCAAGGACGGCTCCAAATTCCCTCCGAGCCTTCCAAGGAGGCCCTAGAGAGGCAAAATCCCTTCAAAAACAGCGTGTTGCTTCAATGTGGTTTGCCTTCTCACGTTTTCGCCGCTTCCGATGGGCTCTTGAGGCCTCCACATGGCTCGAACATGGCTCTAGAGATGCCGGGCTCCAGATGGCCACAAGACCCCAAGAGGACCCCAAGAGGTAGTTGTTCGGCCTCTAAGGGGGGGGGGGGAGGGGCGTAATTGACGCCGCGCCCTTTTTTGATCGATGGCCCCCAAGGTGGCCCCCAGAGGCCCATGGAGGCCCCTAAGGAGGCCCCAAGAGAGCCCCAAAGGCCTCCAAAATTGCCCCCAGAAGGCCCAATAGGGCCCAATAGTGACCCCAAAAGGCTCCCACTGCGTGACCGCATGCTGCTACACATCCCTGATCAGGGCAACTCGCATGGCGATCGTTTTTGGATCGGTTGGTGGGGATACGCGAAGAGTCATGAATCCTACCAGATCTTACGGCGTAAATTGTTTGGGCAGTTTCCCCTTCCAACCCCCTTTGTTCCCCTTCGGGGGGGGGGAATTTTATCAATGCTCCCTATTAATATAAACACCCCATCCCCCTGGCGACGGGCAGCCAACCAGGACAAATGCCAACACCCACCCATCCCTGTCAACAAAATACCAAACACACTTTGTGGCAAAATCTTGGGTCGTGCTCGTGGGCCCCGCGAGCACTTTGTACTGTTTTTTGACTGGGACGGCGCGGGTGCCCGCTTCTTGCCTTCTTTGCGCAAGGCCTCCCTGTCAAAAACAATACAACATACACTTCGCGGCTAAATCTGGATTACGCGCGGCCACCCTGCGATCACTATCAAGTGGTGTTTGACAAGAGCGGGGGCGCTGGCAGATCGCCTGCTGTGTGCTGGCCCACCATGGTCACCAGACACCACCATGGCCTCCACGCCGCGATTGCGCACTGGTTTTCGACAAGGATAATGGGGGCCGACATGCGTCCCGATGTGTGCTGTCACGTGCGCGGCGCAACTGTTTTTTTGTTCGTCGGCGGCGAGGCGGCGAACTCCGCTCCAGCGAGAAGCTAGAAAGGGGCACCAACTAGCGAATTGGCTGGCGGGCAAAGAGAAGGGGGGGGGACGGCCGAGAAGAATAGGGGGCAAGCAAACCTACCTCGCTTTAGACCACCCTCGCTTCCAAGAGATACCAAGCGATGCCAAACTACGGCCTGTACTGGTCAGGCCGCTTGACGAGGAGGCGCGTGGTATGACTTGGTTTTGCCTGGAAGCGAGACTGGGGTAGGTAATTCACGCTCTGAAGGAAGAAGGGACGCTCTGACGTCGAAGAGTTCGACGATGAGCAACCGGGGGGGGGGGCAGCAGCAGCCAGGCGCGCGGGGCCAGAGCGCGGTGGGCGGCCGAGGCACACCACGGTGGCAAGGGTGGCGGGAGGGCGGCCGCCTGCGGCTGGAGCTGGCGGGCGGGCGCAGCGGGACACCACGCACGGCAGAGGTACACCGCGGCGCGCCGAGGAGCAGGCACAGCACTGATGAAGGGGCCCACAAATTCACAAATAAGTGCACACAAATAACAGGACCCCCATATTTATCCATACTTTCTGGTTTCTGTCTTCCCTGCCACGTCCCATATTTTCCCACATTTTCCTGGGAGTCGACGATTAATTGTGTCTGTGTGTTTCTGTCCCTCCTGAACTGAGCCGTGCGGAAGCGGGAACACAGCAGAGGCAGTGACAGGGGGCATTGCGGCGGCCCGGGACGCGCCACGTGGCCGGGGGAGGCGGGGCAGGAGGCGGCGGGCGAAGCGTCCCAGGCGCCCGGGCGGAACAGCAACGCAACGGGAGGAGGAAGCGCGGGGCTGCCGGAAGGAGGCGGCAACCCAGCCAGAAGGCGGCGCAACTGGCACCCTCTGCGGGTGGTCTGGACGTGGCACACCAGGCGCAGCTGGACCATGTGGCCCACATGGCGCAGGTGGAGCACGTGGCGCACGGGGCGCGCGAGGCGTACCTGGCACGCTCTGGCCCCAGGGGTGCATGGCGCACCTTGAGCGCCTGGCACGCGTGGCGCACCTCGCCCCATCACGCACATGGGGCCTGTCGTGGTTCCCAGTAGCTGCCCATCCAGACTACCGCTGAACATGCGGAGGCCCGGGTGATACTTATGTGTTCGGACGGCGGGTGGGAGTGAGCGAGACATCTTGCGGGCGGCGGGTGTCTTGCCCCATCCCCCTCGACCTGGACGGGGGGACCACAAGAGGCACCAAGGGGCACCAAGAGGCTCGCAAGAGGTCCCCAAGATGCCCCCAAGAGGCTCTTAAGAGACCCTAAGAGATCCCCAAAAGGCCCCAAGAGGTCCCCCAGAGGCCCCCAAGACGCCCCAAGAGACCCCGACAAGGCTCCAACAGGCCCCCCCAGAAGCATTCAAGACGCCCCAAGAGGCCTCGGCAAGAAGACCACACTCCGTGTTTACAATGAGGTTGTGGCAACGTGTTGGCCCTCTTGGCGGGGGGGGCGGGGGCTAATTTAGCACGGCCCGTCCTTTGATCGATCTCCTCCGACATGGCCCCAAGATGGCCCCCGAGGCTTCCAAGGGTGCCCCAAGACGGCCCCAAGAGGTGCCCAGGAGGCCCCAAGATGCCCCCAACACTCCCCCAAGATGCTTCCATGAGGCCCATGGAACTGCCAATAAACATCCAAGACGCCCTAAGAGAACTCCAAGAAGCTTTCGAAAGACATCCAAGAAAAAATCCGAAGGGGCATCATGAGGCCTCTGGCATTTCTGCTCGCCCTCCTCCTCCTCCTTCTCCTCCTCCTCCTCCTCCTCCTCCTCCTCCTCCTCCTCCTTCCTGCTCCTGCTCCTGTTCCTCCTCCTCCTCATCATCCTCCTCCTTTGCAAGAAGCAATCAAACTGGCAAAGGGAAACCATGATATCGCATGTTGTTACGCCGGCGGCGCAGAGGGTCCTCAAGCGCGAGTGCAGCAGTAGCAAATGCAGGACGGAGAGGAGGAAGAACAAGAGAAGCAGCAAGAGGATGCGGAGCAGAAGGAGAAGGAGAAGAAATGATGACCAGCAGCAGGAAATGAGCGCGCACGGAGCAGCAGGTCCAAAAACTGACGCAGCCGTACAGCATTATCGTGGAGAACTCCACCAAGCTGGCTACTCTCTTTAATTGGCCAACTTGCGCTCCGACAAGAGCGGCGCGGGCTGGCCCGCTTTCTGCCGCGGTGCCCTCGCCGAGCTCGCGGCCGAGGCAGAAGAGCACCTGGGCTTCGGCTGGCCGGTGTCGGCTGGGCCGCGCCCGGGCGTGAGGCCACGCCAGGAGAGTCGGAGGTGTGGAAGAAGAAGAACCTCTTCGAAAAGTGGTCGTCGAGTGCCGCATCGAGCGGGTGGAGCCCCACAAGGTTTCGGGCACCACGGATGTGAAAGCCGGGTACTTCAGAATCCACCTGCGGGTCACGCCGAGCGCCTTCGAAGCCTACCACTTGATGAGTGACCACGTCGAGGGGGACCTCACGCTGGCGTCCGGGCGTCCATGGCAGGACACTCTGCCGGACGCCCCCGCCGAGGGGGCCGGTCCCAGGGTCTTCCTGGTCCACAAGGCGAAGCCCCGCGAGCGTGCCCGCGAGGAGGACACCGGCCACGGGGGTGGGAGCAGGGCGGCGTCGTCAGGGGGTGCAGCAGCCCCAGCGGCGGGGGCAGAGCCGGAGGCAGCGGCAGCCGGCGGGGAGGATGCACCCGCCGCCGCCCCGGCGGACGGAGGGGGTGCCCTTCCGGCGGCGGCCGCAGCGACGGCCGCGCCCTGGCGCCCCCCCACCAGCCCGGCGGGGAAGGGCGCCGCAGCGGGAAAGGGCAAGGGGAAGAAGGGCAAGAGGAGCAAGGGCCCTTCCAAGGGCAAGCGCTGAGGCAGCCCGCCCGGCAGGGCTGACCCCCGCTTCTTCCCCCTCCTTCTCTCTCCCCATCACTCACCTCCTATGGTAGTATACAGATCACCTATGATACCAACATCGTCCTCCCCTCTCCCCCCTCTTTCGGCCGAGCGGGACTGTTTTTGCATACTCGATATTCGGATGTTTAACAAACTGGTGGTGTACCACCGCCAGGCCGCAGGCGTCGTCGGCACATGCAGCGGTCACCTCCCTCGGAAGGATACAACTCACTTATAATACCAACATCGCCCTTCCCTCTCCCCCCTTTTTCGGCCGAGCGGGGCTGTTCATTGCATACTCTATGTTCGAATTTTCTTAACCACTGGTGGTGTACCACCGTCAGGCCGCAGGCGACGTCGGCACATACAGCGGGAATTCGTCAGAACTACACGTGCCTCCTCAGCTAAAGAG